TTCGTGTCTGGTTCTTCACTCTTCGCAAGAAACGCTCTAGTTGGGTTTAGGTTCAACGTTGAAGGGCAATATGAGTCAGTAATAAGCAATGCATGTAAATATTTGGCACGTCTCACACACGTGATACATGAGCCTCAACAAGGGCTCAGGCTTCGGTCCTGCAATAGGCAACAAAATCATGGCATGCAGGGCGCCTTCTCCTACTGCCGCGAGTTGTAAAATACTTTGGTAACGAATAAGAACAGAGAACTTCAGAAATTTTTTGGTACACGAAACTTATTTGCATCTTCTAATTATGATATTTCGAGGACCGGTTTTCGGAATCATGTCATTATTCATCCAGCCTTTTGATACCTACATTGTAGTTAGTACCATGAAGTATCAATTACATTATAAGTCAGTTTTGGATAGGTCTTCTCGATAGACCAGTTTTTAGGTCTCCAGGAAACACGTCACAAACCTCACATGACTTGTTGGTTCGAAATCTTCGTCGTTATATTAAACAGTTGCCAGTTAATCATTATTTCCGCGAACCTCGCTCGTATATTGAATCCTTTATCACAAGATTGTAGTATTCCGATCTAAAAATTGCTTCTTACCACTTGCTCCAGCGCCATAACTCATGGTAACGCAATATTCTCAAGTCGATATTCGCCATCGACCTCATTAACGTAACCACATTTTTAGCCCGTGCCAAACTTCTGCCCGGAATGCAAGTTTTAGTCGCACATCTTCCTGCCATGCCATTTAATATTAAATACTTATTAGAAAATGCCGCCCGTAAGCACACAACTTCTCCTTTCTAGATATTACTTCTTCCACGAATACATAAATATCACGTGGATCTTTTCAAAGAGCTATAGTATAATTAGTACGAGGCAATTTCAGACTAGAAATTTACTCCATATCGTGGAGTCGAAGGAGACATCAAGAAGGCGATATATCTTTAACGATAACTCGCTTACTTTTTTCATTGCAATTGCAGTGTGTTGGCGCGAAATACATGGACAAGCTCACCTGCAGTCTGTGTTTTTTTTCGCTTACTCATGATATTGAACTGTGTTGTACAATTATGTTTATTACATTTGGGAGTGAAAATAGTTCAGTTTGGGATACAATTGCCTGCCTAGGCACTTCTGCAGACCAGAGTTTTCAGTAGTTATGCATTTGAAACAATGTCGTCAATTGTATCGTTGACTAGAAAATTGTATCCTTGTTGTTCATTTTTGAGCCCTCATGGCTGGAATGTGTTTAATTGCACGAAATGTTATGACTGTTTGTCTTCAAAGCCTATAGACGCGCTTCGGGCGCTCACGAATACGGATAAACAAGCTTGAATTGATTTATCAGGCAAAGCTTAAGGGCATCGCTGCTGCCCTCGGCAACCGCCGCTTGATGAGGCGAATTTGTCCGACAGCCGCGGACACTTCAGTCGCTCGGTCATGAAGAAGCATTCGATGTTCAAATATTTGTTTGACATATTTGTTTGTATTAAAACATAGAAAAACACATATTACAACGTTCTTCTCACACCACGAGCATTTGGACCGATGTCTTTAAAGTATTTATTCTTCGCAAGCCCTTCTTCCAGGTAATGTATAATAATTTCATATATTTAGTCATGTAATAATAGGTAATCTGAGAGTTGCACCAAAATTGGCAGGTTTATCACGTGTTATAAAAAACATTATTACTATATAACCTAATAACAATCTTTGAGCACAACCTAGTATTTAATTGGACATCCAAACTAAAGACGACCTCTTCATTAGCATAAATTCATTGGCCGACTCATGTATCCTAAGTTTCCATCACTGTAGAATTAACAAGGAGCAGGATGTCAAATGCTTCAACTACTGACTCTTTATTCTGGTAGACACAGCCTACCTCAAAACTTTTTCTATAATGGTATGAATTTTTGTGGAATTTTCTTTCCTTTTAAATTTTTATTGTCTAATAATTTGAACAATTCGAAGCAACATATTGACAGGGAATTTAATAATCCACATATTTTGATTCAAAATGTTAGCTTGACTACTTCAGACTATGATATATGAACAAATGAGTAGGAGCGCGAAACTAATACCGAAATAATTCGCTTCTAAGGCGGGCATGAACAGAATGCAGGGTGTGAACTATCAAGTCAACCGCGGTGCTAAAAAAAGCAACTAAAGGTCGGAACAACAAGGTAACAGAAGTCATATATATGAAATTGCGATTACACGTACATTGTTACTGAAAATTTCAGTTAAATTCGAAGCTACGAATGTGTAGCTTCTATTGTAATGTTCTTGACGTGTTTCCTGGAGACCTGAAACGGGTCCATCGGGAAGACCTATCCAAAGCTGACTGTGTGTCGCTTTTGCCAACACAACGCCCCCTCAACTTGTCCTGCCGTTGTAGAATTTCGGAAAGATTTGTGTACCGCCGAGTAAAGCAACAATGTAATTGTTGCTTCGTGGTACTTCGGAAAATAGAGGTATATAGGCTTGAAGAATGGTGACATGATTTCAAAACCTGTTTTGGGAAGAATATCAATAGACAATAGAGAATCAAAATTTACTGTGTGCAAATGAAATTCCCAAAGATTCTGTTTAATTTTAGGACCCAATGATGGTATAATTTGCTGCACCTGGGAGAGGCGCCCCGCATTACATGATTAATATTGACGATTGCAATGCCAAAATCGATTCCTATGCCATTGCTGGAGCGCGCTTAACAATCCACATGGAGCCTTCATCGAAATGATGCCCAAAGAGCGGGCGCGTCATCAGTGATAAGCAATAGTCGACTTCAAGTCTTCGAGCCTTCCGATGCAGTGCGACTGTTTGCACGCTCCTCCGCTAATATTTTGTATATGACGACCAGAGTTGGCTTAGTCTGGTGTGGCCGCCACCTTACGAGGATGTGATGTCATCTCGACCAAGCGCCGGCAACCTGCACGGCCGGGCCTTGCTCAACCGTGTTTTCTTCACATTTAATGTAAGAGTTTGGGTTCATACCTAGCCTTATGTATTGAATTATCATTCATGGTAATTTTGTTTTCATTTGAAGTTCGACTCACCCGATACGGTCGAGAATCGGGTGAGAATACCTGTGAGAATCACCACTGTTATAATGTAGAGGTCGCAACTGAGTTTTCTTGATGAGAGTTAAATTGTATACATACACCATTTAAAAACATCAGAGAACAGCAGAGTCGGATAATTATTATTCAAGATAAACGCTTTGTACCTTTTTTACACTCTGTAATAAAATTGACTCATATTCAGAAACATTACAGGGATCTCATTTTCCAGGCAGCAAATTTTTCAACCGATGACGACTGTGACAATATGTCGACTGTTCCATACTGTAAAAATATAATCAGAATGCTGTGAATAACTCTTATAGGATATACCTTTCATAATTAATCATCCGCTATTCCATCTTTCCCTTTCCCATCATTACCATACTAAAAATCTTCCTACCTTCAATGTATTCGGGGATGACTTCTAGTAGGCCATAACTCTTCAAAGTTAACTCGCTTACTTGTATATGAAATTGCTGAATGGGTTAGCACTAAATACATAGACAAACTCGCAGCCTTCTGTTCTGTCCGCGTAGTCATGATACGGAACTGAACTGCACAATAATGTGTGACGATAGCGGTGAGAATAGTTTAGTCTGTGCTACAATTGCCTTCCGGAACTCTCGTTTGACTGAAGTGTTCAGTTATTATGGGTCGGATGCAACTATAGCCTGCAATAAATGGTAAATCTTCCTCTTAAATATAAATATTTTTGAGCCCTGCGCACGTTGAAAAGTGCTGGGATTAAGAAGCTCGTGAGCATTGTTGCCCGAGGTGGAGGTGCCACTGCCTCTCCGTGCATAACGAATGCATATTTTATCTCTAACTTAAGTATTCCCTCAGGCCGAGGTTGGTGTTGCGGAAGAGCTGCCACACATATGAGCTATCGTCGTCTATTTGGAACTAAATAGTAAAAAATACCAATAAACTTTTATAAAAATTGCCCTCCTAAGTATTTGTATTATTTTTAGTATTCAAATGCTGGTTAATTAATTTGCTTATGCTGGAGCAGTGGCTGGAGGCTCGCAGTGCCTTGGGCTTCAAGCCGTCGCGGAACTAAAGCCAACGGATTCAAGGGAATCTCTGCACTTCGCGGATGCACCTCGGGGACAAAATATTACCTTCTGAAAAAGACCTTAGTATGGTTGAAAGCGAAAACAAACGACCTTTTTTGTGAAAAAAAAAATTTTCCTATCACATACGGTGACTCAGGAAATTGAATGCAAAGTTCAAAGCCCTCGAATTTCATGGCCAGAAGGTAAAAAAATGATCCTTTCGTGCGTACTGGAGCCATTTATATCGCAATTAAGTTGCAAAAATAATGGCAGACGCAGCTTTGCGAGGCCTTTATTTTGGCATATAAAAAAAGTGGAAAAAATTTTCTCCCTATGATTTTCAAAATGGCCCTGGCTGTCTGCATTTCATACAAGCAATGCACAATGTTAAATGATGTTGATTGATGGTGTGACTTAAGCCAATAAGCTGTAATCAATTGGATTTTTCTTGAATGGAAAGGTGTCAAAAAATTCCCTTCTGGGCACAATTACCAGAAAGGTTTCAAAACCTACCTGGGTCAATTCCCATCACGAATGGACATAAAAAGCGTCCAAATGGAACCTTTCGGGGAAAGGTTCCTTCTGGGACATGGAATGCACCGCAAAATCAAATTCCGCAAAATCAACAGCAAAGTTGCTGCTGAGCATGGAATACCCCTCCAAAGACCGATTGCACAGCTTCTAAGCAGCTGGAGGGATAAACATACTGATATTCATATCCGTATGGCGAATGTGCACGGCATCAACTCTCAACCACCTTTGCAGTTAGTGTTCTGCATAGGTGGTGGAGTTTGAATATATTTTATTGATTAAGGCATATGTTAATGTGAGATTATGCTTATGCTTCACGAGAATCCCCTATCTTCTCGTTTCAGAGTTTGCAGAAATAAAGCAAAGATGAGCAGTAAAAGATATAGATGTGATGATGACAGTGATAGCTGTGACGACCCGGAATTACAAGATGATAAACTGGCGCACACACAGGAGCCCGATGCTGATGAAGGAAGTGGCGAAGCTGACGCAACTTCTTCGGCTGGTGGGTACTCAATCACAATGAATCTATTGAACTAAATTGACTTTCCTATACATGCTTACATGGTTTGTTTGATGCTTTGGGACTCAAGTGTGGTGCCTTGATCTTTTCAGATGGAACGATTATCCCCGAAAGTGAGGCAGGCAGTGGCATGTCGGCTGCCGAGGAGGAAGAAGAGGTGGTTGAGCAAGTGGCAGCAAAGCCACGTCGATCGTTGCGTGAGAGGGAAAAAACGCCCAACACTGCCAGCACTGCTGAAAGTCTTGACGAAGACTCGGAGGCCAAGACTTCACTCGGAACACTTGTGATGGCCCACTCATATGACACAAGTAACAGGTTTTATACCTTTGGTTCCGTAGCTGGCCGAAATGAACGGGTCACGCAGCATATATGGCATAAAGTCTATGGACGGCAAAATTCTTTCAGGGCTCCCTTTGAGCGAAATGATATAGTTGGTGCCGCTAATACACCAGGCTCGAACGCAAAGGCAGTTGATGATTTGGAAATGGTCATTGTCTAAGATATAGAAGCAACGAAGGCCGCAAAGAAAGCAAAGATTGCTCAAGCGCGTGCCTCCAGGAACGATCAAGCACAAGAAGCCTCCTCTTCTGACGATTCCGAAGAAAAGGAAGAAGGCTTGGAACAATCAATGATCACAGCTCATTGCGAGCAATCAGAATTGGACTTGCCGCAAGATGAACAGAATTTGGATGAGGACTAATCCTAAGGAAGTACTAATGAAATTGAAGAACTCAGGGTCCCTCCGGGTCACACGCTAATGTTGTACTTTTAAGAAAGGAAATGTTCTATTCGATTTGCCTGTGATTGTTACCGTAATCTACTTTTAAGAGATGAATATTATTTACTAATTACTCTTGCCTTTTATGCCACGAATTGCCCAATTTGAATGGAATTTGCTTGTTTATTTCAATTGCTGTGTTGATAATGTAGGTTAAATGTTTGTGAGAGAATTTTCAATAAAGTTTTTGAACCCTCATTTCTATCTTGTCATTAATTCCCTCCCAACAGGTTGGTGATGGGATGATCTCCTGCGAGTGTCGTTTTATCTCGCAGGAGTTGACTCCCTGGCAAAAAGCCCAGGCGAGAGACTTTGTGTTAGAATTTCTCCGCACCCCTTGTCTGGCTGCAACCTCAGAGCTTGGCTGGCTCTGGGTAATTGCATCCTGACATATGCAGTGGTCGTGACTTTCATAAGAACATGACATCGTCTCTCTGCTTGGCATGATGGCATATGCCTATTTTGTGTATGGACTACACTCAACACCACCTCAACACGTTTGACTGGCACACACATACGACTTGCCAAGGCTGGACTAGTTCCGCCCGCCAAAAAAACCGTTTAATGGCTCTGCCGTTTGGTTATCTCGCTAAGAGTCTTGTTCCATTCTCGTTACCACGCGAGGTGCAAAAGCTGTCAAGACAGGTCAGGTGCGGTGATTCCCTTATGAGTTACCTTCTCAAATGAACCTCGTGGTATTCCTTCCCTTCTCGGACCCCACGAGGTGCAAAACCTGGCAAGAAAGGTGCAAAACCTAGCAAGAAAGGTGCAAAACCTTTCATGAAAGGTGCAATTTTTAATGAATCTTGATGAATAACTGAGTGAGTTATGGACGCAGAAGCATGAGTTTGGTCTCGTTAGATGCGCCTCAAGCTCCCATTTCGTTAATTGGAAACGGGATTTGGCTAGATCCACAAACGAAAAAGTTATTCAAATAAATGTGATTTTTATCAATAACTTTGCAACTATCGGAGATTTATGCAACAAAATTCTACCAACATGGTTTTATATCTTAATAAATAGAATTACGTGCTGGAATGCTTCATTCGAGATAAAATTATGAAAAACTTGAGTTTAGATCATAACTATTTGCTCAAGTGCAACCCCGTTCACAGATTCTCAAATAGCAACCTTAGACGCATCTCACTTATAGAAAGTGATATTCTACCTGTGAACATTACTTAGCCATAAGTCCAAGTGCAAAACCTGACCATGACAGCTTTTGGACCTGTCTTGATAGGTTTTGCACCTCGTAGGGTACCGAGAAGGTAACTAAGACCACGAAGTGCATTCCAAGGGAAGACATGCACCTTGATTAATAACTCCTGTGCTTTCAATGCAATTGATTTCAAACGTTAATATGTTATTGCCCCCGTTATTCCGGTCATTTTGATACCTATCCCGTTAGAGTGCAACAATAATTACATTTTGAGCACACTTTTCTACCGAAGCTAAGTGTCTAGTAAACTCATATATGAGTTTACTTCATTTTTTGGACCAATACGAAAGAAAAATGGTCACAACTCTGTGAATACACCTAAGGAAGCTTTGAGCAAGTGTACATATAATACTACAACATTTTTAGACGGTCTGGCAGCGTCAGAATTGAATAATAGTGAAAATGCAAAAAACTAACGTAACTCTAATTCTGTTCTTAAAATGATCGCCATGTCAAGTTTACCAACATACTAAAGTTTGAGCTCGATTAAACTATGCCTACTAGTGTTTTATGATTCCCTTATGAGTTACCTTCTCAAATGAACCTCGTGGTATTCCTTCCCTTCTCGGTCCCCACGAAGTGCAAAACCTGGCAAGAAAGGTGCAAAACCTTTCAAGAAAGGTCAGTTTTTCAATGAAACTTTATGAATGAACAAGTCAGTTTTGAAGGCTGAAGCATGATTTTGGTCTCGTTAGATGCGTCTCAAGCTCCCATTTCGTTAATTGGGAACGGGATTTAGCTACATGCAAAAACGAAAAAGTTATTCAAATTTATGTAGTTTTTATGAATATCTTTGCAACTATCGAAGATTTATGCACCAAAATTTTACCAACACTGTTTTAAATCCTAATAAATAGAATTACGTGCTGGAATGCTTCATTCGAGGTAAAATTATGAAAAACATGTATTAAAATTTTAACTATTTGCTCAAGAGCAACCCCGTTCCCAGATTCTCAAATAACAAGCTTAGACGCATATTACTTAAAAAAAGTGATATTCTACCTTTGAATATTACTAAGCAATAAGTCCAAGTGCAAAACCTGACCATGACAGCTTTTGGACCTTTCATGAAAGGTTTTGCACCTCGTAGGGTACCGAGAAGGTAACGAAAACCACGAAGTGCATTTGAAGGGAAGACATGAATCTTGGTTAATAACTCCTGTGCTTTTAAGCCGATTTATTTCAAACGTTAATATGTTATTGCCCCCGTTATTCCGGTCATTTTGATACCTATCCCGTTAGAGTGCAACAATAATTACAGTTTCAGCACACTTTTCTACCAAAGCTGAGGGTCTAGTAAACTCATATATAACTTTACCTCATTTTTTGGACCAAGTTTGAAACCCTCAAAATATTTTTGCTGAATATCAACCCAATTTCAGTTTAACATTAAAATACATCAAAATGCTTCAAATTAAACCATTTCAAGGGGGATTCATGCCCATTATCACCCTATATCGGGCTTCACATTGACACGTACAGAATCGAATATCATTACGAATTTCATGTTCCCCATGATGTGTCCACGCTATTTTCGGATCTTAAGTGAAAAGTAGATGAACTAGACCTGACCTGGACCTAACCTGCGAGGATTCCGGGCACTGGTAGTCTCTGACATGCGCTGTGACAGAACGTAGACTTCCGAGCATGGATGGTCACTGAAATGCGCTGTGACACGTCCGTAGACTTCCAGACAGGGAGCCTGAGCAAGCTTTGGCGAACCTGAGCGCTTACTTTTACTCAGAATTGAAAAATAGTGAAAATACAAAAAACTAACCTAACTCCAATTCTGCTCTTAAAATGATCGCCATGTCAAGTTTACCAACATACTGAAGTTTGAGCGTGATTAAACTATGCCTACTAGTGTTTTACAAAACTTGAATCTAGAATCCAATATTTTACCTTCTCAGATGCACCCGGACCGCGAGGTTCGTTCAGAAGGGAACAGAGGTTCATTACCTTTCAAGGACAGGTTCCTTAAAGTTTCAAAAGCTCTCAGGTAAAGGTCCGATGAATTTCCCTTCTGGAGGTAACCCGAGGTTCAAAACCTGCCTTGGGAGGTCCAAAACCCAGAAGGGAATTTCCCTATTCGGTAAAGGGAAAGCTATCAGGTGGGTTTAGGTAGGTCCTTTCCCATCAACTTTCGGCAGATGTTTATATACCATTTGAAAGAGCTCTTTAAGACGAATAACTTTGATTTAAGACTTGTCCTCGATAAAATCAAACATAAAAAGTTATTAAGCATTGAATTGTGAGGTGCATCTGAGAAGGTAATTCCTATGTAACCTTCTTCACTAAAAGTCAGGTAGGTTATGAAACTCCGGTACCTACCTGATCGCGACAGTTCGTCAAGGAACTGTCTGCTTATGAACGAGCATGCCGAGTAGTAATGGATGACGACCTACGACGTTATTTATTTATTTTTTTTTTTTGAGCGGTGTGTCACTGGTCGGGAGGACGGTGTACCTGTGTATTCTGCGGCTTCTATAAATCCGTGGCTGAGTAATGTTATGGGATGCTGAGGCGGCATATAGGCTCAAGGGATTATATTTAGAAGTTAAATTTGCAGCCTACGGCTTCGCCTCCCTCGCAAATGGCTGTACAGTAGGTTTAACCCAGGTTCAGCATCTCGACGACAGGTACGAATAGTTACCGGAGACAGGCAAGGCGAACCAACCTTAATTAATAAAAAGGGGAGCATGTAGGCAAAAATCTATTTTCTATATATATGATAGAATCATCTCCAAACTTGGTACACATATGTGAAATCAAAAATGATCACTATTTTGTTCGTGTAAATTTTTGGAAAAAAGTGAAAGAAAACGTGAAATTCATAGAAAACGGCAAAAAGGGGGGTACTCTAAAAAAATTTATGACTGTTGCAAATTATATGCTACAACATCGAGACACGTATCATTCGATGCGTAAAAACCATATCTAGCGATTCTCGAAACACTACTAAAATGAAATCGAAAAAAATGATTCGAGAATCGCTAGATGTTTTAATTGCGAATCGAATGGTATATGTCTCATTGCTGTAGCTTCAAAACTCTAGGAGTTATAAAGTTTGTCGTGACATTAAGTGTGAATGTTCAGGAGGACGCGACAAAGTCCCGGGTGCACCGCAATAGGCAGTCAATGTAGCATAGATACCAAAGTAAACGTTTCTGGAGCTTGATTCCAATCAAGGATGGTGGGAGCGCACATCCCCGTACGACGCCCGGAGGCACACTGGCTTACACTTTCTAAAAACACTGTATTTGTAGTGCGAGGCAGCGAATTTCCCTCAATGTAATTACTGAAGGAACTCCCCCCCTGCCCCCCTTTCATGAAGTGTGGTGTACGTCAAAATTCACGTACAGAGACGGTAATGATACCGTTGGATAGCTCAGAATGTCAGCTTTGAGATGAGACTAAACACGTAACTGCAGCACAACTCAAATAGATACTATATTTAAAGAGCTCAGCAGCTAATTAGTTCCTATCTAATTACTTAAAGAACTCCCCCACCCGCTCCCCCTTCATGAAGTGTCGTGAATCTAAAAATGGACGTACAGAAGATGGTATTGGTACCGTTGGATAGAGCAGAATGTCAGCTTTAAGAGTAGATTAAAAACCGGAAAAGCCGAAATCCAAATTTTTTGCCTACATGCTCCCCTAAATTGCATATACATGTTACGGGATGTTCCCGTAAGTTAAGGTCAATTCCGAACCACGTCAGGTTCCCGACTGTCAAATTATTAACAGTTAACAACTACCTCTGTTAAATAGACTATGCAAAATCAATCGGTAAGACAAACTTACTTGGACTAAGAAATACAAAAGATTTCACTTAAATTATATTGAGCCTCGAATTAAGGCAAGAGCGTTTTCGGCTGCCAGAC